TTCTTGAAACGACGGTCGTATAATTGAACCTATAGAATAATATTCATCGTTTGTAAATATATATGAACATATACAAATAACTTGTAGCTTTTCTCTCGAGTTTCTAGTCATCATGTAACATTCGGTGACGCTTTGGCTGTAAGGTAAATAGTCCCTTTCAGAGTTCCCGGCGGCACCTTGAAGGGTAGCCGTGCCTTTGCATCGAAGCGAGACGAACGGTGAGCTTGTAAAGATAGAAACGTTTTCTAACGCCTTGCAAATTATTCACTTGTCTCTATTATTGCAAGCTCACCATTCGTCTCGCTTCGATACAAAACCGAAYACGATTGACATCACCGAACACGAAGTTAAAGTAAAAAACCTTGCTCGATATTTATGATATATATATGGCGATTTTGCTTCCCCCYATCAAAATTCAAAAAATGTTTTCTTTAAGTCATACTCCAACATTCATCAGTGCTTGGAACATTGTTTTACTCTATTTTACTTTTGATTTAATTTAACAGTTTTGCTTATATGATATTTTTAACACGCTTTGCTAGCACATCATGCTCAAATTTAGTACTGTACGTATCGTCTTGTGTTAGCACACTTCTTTTGTTTCCGGGCTCGATCTGTTATCCTTGCCCAGACTTAGATCAGACCAGAAGTTGTTTCAAGGTTCGATCTGTGAGATAGCTGTGTCCAGACTTAGATCGTCCCAGAGCTTGTTTCAGGGTTCGATCTGTGAGTTGTTAGCCATACCTTGACTTAGATCCGTGAGCCCAGAGGTTGGTTCATACAATATCAATTCGTATAAAACCAGTATTCAAAATGAATTTGTTTACCAAATGAAATAAAAACTATATGTATTATATTATTAYAAATCGTATAAAGCTTTAATAAACTAAACTCTATTTAGTAAATGTTATACCACTATGGTAATCTAAGCTAAAGTGGTCCTGTTGAATTTCAACATTATATAGAGCTATTGTTAGACAAGAACATCCGATAGGTTCGTTGGCTCGTCTTGTTCTGGTGCTGTTTCTTGGGAAGGTTTTTCGCCAATGAACTCGTCATTGTGGAAATAACCTTTGAGTCTGAAAG